GACTAATAAAATTTCGCACGTAAATTTTGTAAAGGTATGCACAAATCTGCACAAAAAATTTTAGAAAATTACGCACTATCTATACTGTTTGCACAATTTCACACAATTCTGCATAACCTATGTACAGTCTGCATAATCCTATATAGTTGCTGATTATTGATTGTTGATTGATTATCAGATTGATAAAAAAAATAAATAAAAAATAAAAATAAAATAATGTATGGTATGGTATATTCGAACTTTTCAAAAATATTTTAATTGATTCAGTTTAAATGTAAGTTTCAGAGACATTCAACCAACATGATTTTTTTTACAAATTTTGATTATCATTATCATTATAATGTAATCAAAATTTTACCTTTTTTTTAATGAAAATATGGACAAGTTTTTAGGCCGTTCTGGATAAAGTAGTGAGACTCCTAAAGAAAGCCAAATTCTGTAACTGATGAAATTAAAGTTAATAAAAAATCAAAAACAGCTGCTGCTCTAAAAGATTCATAGTATAATAATATTTATGATTAGTTAGAATATTGTGATATTGATGAGAAAGTTTTTATGTTTTGTATCTGGTGTAAGAAGGTGGATTATAGCAATCAATTTGTTAAAGAGTATAGTACTTACAAGAAGGATTTAATCGATAGGCATATTAAAAATAAAGAGCATAACCTTTTAAAAAAAGCAAGAAAAGGAAATTAACCTAATATTATTCAAAGTATCTCTCAACAAATTAATATTAACAAAGAAAAGATAATTAATCAAATGAAATGTGTATATTTTGCAGCTAAAAACTATCTTTCATTAAATCTTTACTCTGATTTATATAATTTAGTATTAAACTCAAATAAAAACACTTCACAAATACAACCTCATCTTCTTCATCTCCTTTCTCTTTCTTCTTTACAACCATTTTTAAATACTCCTCCATATAGATCATATTGTACTTCAAAATATGTACGAAAATTTGAAGAAGCTATTTTTTATGTAATTGAAAAGGCATTGATCAATGAAATTAAAGCTTCTAGATAATAGAGTATTTTAATTGATAAATCAACAACAATAACTGATGAAAAACACTTAGTGCTTATCTTAAAACATATAGCAAATAATGTATTAGTGTTATATTATTTAGGATTAATAGAACTTGATAATTGCAGTGCTAATAATATTACAATATAAATAAAAAGCTTTTTAAATAAAAAAGGACTGCAAATTAAAGATATTACTCATTTTGGAAGTGATGGTGCTTCTGTTATAACAGGTTAGTTATAATTAAAATAATTTAATAATTAGTTAATTTATACTGCAGAACTGACGGGACTGATTTTTTTAATTTAAATAAGTTAATGTGTAGCAATACAATTAAAAAAGGAAAATCTATTTATGACTTCTATTCATTGTATCGCACATAGACTTCATTTAGCTGGTCAAGATGCAGCAAAAGAAGTAACATATTTTAAAGAATATGAAGTTATTTGCAAACAATTATATGGATATTTTAATAGATCATATAAATGAATGCAAAATTTAAATCTTATTGCAAGATATTAACAAAGATCTACAACTTACTATTTTGAACATTATTAATACAAGATGACTATCTATGTCAAATATTGTGCATAATTTCCATTAAGTTATTTTTTCAATTATTGATGCTCTTAATGATAACATGGCTAATGCAGAAAATTCTAAAGATAGAGATCGAGCTTCTCAATTAGTTAGTAATCTTGATCCAGAATTTATTATATCAACAATATTTCTAGCAGATTTAATATACATTTTATCAAAAATGATCAAGACTTTTCAACATAATCATATAGATCTTTCAGAATTAAAATATTCTTTGAAAATAATGATTTTAGCTATTAGCATACAATTTATTAGAACTGAAGAAGTTTCTCTAATATATAACACAATTTTTTATAAATACATGATAAATAATAATATTCATTCTGATTTAATACCTTCTTTTATTTTAAAATTTTCTGAAGAAATTATTAAAACTTTAAAGAATCAATTTTCAGATTCAGAAATTTATAATGCACTAAAAATTTTTGATCCCAAATTTTTACTTCAAAAAGAAAGTGAAATTGCATATTATGAAAATAATGAAATCAAAATTTTGACTGAATATTATAGAATTGATCGGTTATCAACTTCTGATAAAAAAATTTTTGCATATTTTGATAAAATTGAATTAAATCAAAAATGGAGAATAGTTAAGCAAATAATGAAATCAATTTGTGATTTTGATTTTGTAAAAGGATGAGAACATATTTGGAATATAAAACCTTATTTTATTAATGATTATCCATTAATTTCTAAACTTATTAGGTTAACTTTAATAATTCCTCTTTCCAATGCTCATGTTGAGCAGGTATTTTTTCATTATAAATTAACTAAGTCCAAATTAAGAAATCAGATGAATCATGATATACTAAATATGCATTTAATGATATTTGCAAATGGGTCTGATGATTTTCATAATTTTGATTGGGATATTATATATAATTATTGTGCAAATCAACATGTTCAGTGAACTAATGAATAAAAAATATTCATATATTTAATTGTTTTTATTTATTCATAATTCATATAATATCTAATTAATAAAGTTATGCGTATTTCATATATTATATATTCAATAAAAATGAAAGTTTTATAAAAAATTTTTTTTGCACACAGTTGAAAAATTATTCATGTACCACTGTGTGATAACTGCGTACTACCTAACACAATTTCTGCATATGATTTTACTATATAGTGTGCACCTTCTGCACGCATGTATAGGTTTGAAAATTATACACTAAATATCATAATCTAATAGTGACTGCTTTCTTCTTGTTCCTAATCTGTTTATATAATAAAATCTATATTATTAGTTCTGGCATTCCAGTCTTCTTTAAATACCTAGTTCTATAATAAGAGTACCGGTCTTCTATGCTAGTTTGGATACTAGTTCTTTATTAAGAATTTGCACTTATTTGGTTACCTTTCTAAATATCAAAATGTGGTAAAAAATATTATGTCAGATGGTGCAATAAATTTATGATTAATTTTAGCTAATCTTTTGGGCATGTAATTTGAGGATCCAGTTTGATACTATAATAGTGAATTGATAGTATCCTAAAACTATTATAGAACGGCAGGAAACCAGAGTATTTCTATTAGTTCGCTAGTTTCAGATTAATTTGAATGTTGAGTTATTATGCTCAAAGATTTGGCTGAAATTGTGGAATAATGCTGGCCAAATTTATACTGTACCCTACTATGTCAATTACGTGATCTTATTACAAGAAAAAAAAGAAATATTTAGGAAAAAGATCACAGAGATTGCTTATAAGAAAATTGTTATTTTAGTAAGTCATTAATATTTATAAAAAAAAGATTATTAAAAAATATACAAATATTTAAAATAATGAAAAGCTTTAATAAAAAAGAAATTATAGTTAAAAATATATAAGAGAATTTTCAAAAAGCTAAGAGAATGATTTTTTATAACTTCTATCACAAGAGCAATGAAAAAATTTTTCAACTTAAAAAAGAATTGAAAGAAACTGGAAGCCTGTGAAAAGTTTATAAAACAATTTAGTAAAAAAAGCTCTTCCTGATTATTTCTTAAATTTGCAGCAAGCAAACACTTTTATTTTTTGTTATAATGATGAATACAAGCCATTAAATATCTTAGCTCGATTTAACAAACACAAACCAAAAATTAAAAGATTTTGAGGCAGAATTTATTATCGCAATATTGTTAATAATAAATTTATTAAAATTCTTTTCTCTTCTTCTCAATCGAAAAATTATTAATTATTAATTGGGTTAATAATTTTTTGATCTGTTATTTTAAGAAAAACCTTTACAAAGATATAAAATTGATATTATTAAGTTAATTGTTGTTAAAATAGTATTGTATATAGATGTTTATACTATTATTTCATCTTTATATTTTGTCATTTTTTTTGTTAAATACTCTTTATCACTCATCATATATTACTAATTTTATTATTTATTAATAAGAAATGGTATGCATCGAGATTGAGCAGCATAATGATTATTTGGTATATGAGATCTTAACTAACAAAAAAAAATAAAAATTAGAAAACATTTAATGCTTTGTAAAGTCGATTATAAAACACAAAAACAAAAAAAAAATCTAAACAATTTCTTATTTTTTTTGATATTTTTTTCATTTATTTGCTAATAAACAACAAAACATTTAGTTGAAAAATCAGAACACAAAAATTTTATCAAATCTTTTGCTTGTTTAAACCTCTCTCTTTTAAAAACTTAAATAAATTATTTTGTTAATTATTAATATAATATATGATGACTGCTCAAAGTTGATTAAAACAAAATTTTCTTCAAGAAATGCAATGGCATGATCAAAACAAAATTCTTTAATTACTTTTTTCATTTGATAATATAAATGTTTTATAAGCTTGAGCATTTCTTTTTCTTTCATTTCTCCTTTTTATGCTTTAAGGTATTGAACATCCTTTACCATATAATATAGCAAATTCAGTTAGTTAAGTATGATATGCATTTCTATGATCAGCCCATTTGATTGCCAGAAGTACATCATTTTGCAATCCAACTATTGCCTATTAGTTGCCAGTATGTGTATGTTAATTTCGCATCCTGAAGTTAGAAATGTAATATGTATTATCTTGGCCTGAATCCATTTAATTAGCAGAAGTGCATCATTTCGTAACCTAACTATTGCTTATTTATTACTGGTATAATAGCAGGATGTTGTAAGTATTTTTGAAATCTGATCATAGTTTAATTTAAGTTAAGACGATGAGTATACTATTTTTTTGAGCATTCCTAATGTTCTTAGTAAAAGAAAAGTTCTAGGAAAAATTCGAAACTTATCCTATGATACATATATATGTCATTTGTATGATATATATATGCTATAAAAATACGATTCCATATTTGCCATGTGGAGACATAATCTGTTCTAGTTGTCTAAGTTATTAGATCAACTAAGTCAAAAACTAGGATGGGTTTCGATATGGGAGAAGAGCTTCTTTCTTTAATTTAACTTGTTCATTTATATTATGTCTTAGTTGTCCTAGTTGTTCTAGTAAAAATAAAAATTCTAGAAAAAATAACGTAATCCATTCTATGCTATATGTATAATATACAATATGTATGCTATTTGTATGCTATATAGCTATATACTAATACAGTCAACTCTTGATATAGCGAACTCTTGATATAACGAATTTTTTGAACAAATATAACAAAAATACTCTTGTTATAGCGAATTGGCCAATAAAATCTCTTAAAATCTTCACTATAGCCTTATAGCGAAGTTGAGGTCTAAGACATAGAGTTCGTTATAACAAGAGTTAACTGTACATCCAAAGTATAATATAACTAACGACACCATTGATTACTGCCGATTGTATAATCTCACCAGTTGACGAACATGTAAAAACTGTACTCGCTGGAGGTTGAGTTGGATTTCCTTGGTTGTCTATGAAATAAACCCTTGCTACATCATTTGTCATTTTTTCAGTTTTTATATAAAGGTTATTACCAAGATCCTTCATCTGTGGACTGTTCTTTTTATATGAAAAAGTACCTTGTTTTCTGTGCATTATAGAAGAATCGATAGTTTGACCTGCTGTAAACATTGTATTATTAATCCATTTGAAAATATGATTTAAATTTAACTGGTAATACGTACCTTAAAATTTTGTAGGAAAGTTGGCTAAACTTCTATATACTCCAGCATGCTTTATATCCTTTTTTTTTCTTCTGGAGAAAATCAGACGGAATCTTCATACCTTTTCACATGGAGATTTACCCTGTAAGACGCAAAGATAGTTATCTCTTGTAGATCTCAAAATTACAAAGTTCTCAGCCTTAAACTTGCTAATACATTGTTTCAATGAATTGGTTTCATCTATTTCAGATTGCATGCTTGCGTACTCATAGTAACAATAAAGCTTCTATAAACTCAAATATAGTTTTCCTGTTATCCGTATATTGTGTTGGAATACTAACTGATCTTAAAAG